GAATCTAAGTCTTATTGTTTGTAATGGAAGTCACAGACAAGTAGTTGATAAAATTAATTTTAAAAATCTGTATTGTTTAATACATGTGTGTATTGAACCTAAAGCACTGTTCGATACGGTTCGATACAGATACATGTATTGTTGCACCCCTAATATATACATACAGTATTTTATTATTTATATTTAACTTTAAAAAATACTCAGAGCAGCTCTTAGAATCTAAGTCTTATTGTTTGTAATGGAAGTCACCCTCCAGTTGCCCATCCTTGCTTTTTGTTATTCATGGCCTCTGTTACTTCAGTCTCTCTTGTGCCATGTGTCACCAAATGTTTCCTGGAGAACCACCTCGCCCCTGTTAAGCTCACCTAACTGGAGTARCACTTACCTGTTGTCCTGCCTACCTCATCTGTCAGAAACTCACCTCAGGATACTTGCCCTCCTCTCTTTGCAGTTGGACCAAAAGCMACCTGAATGACCAAAAACCTAAACAAGCACCTTTCAGTATTTCWGGACATCCTCCCTCCTCACTTCCCRATGATCTGTGTCATCAGTAGTGTAAATAAAATGTTCATTTACATTTGTTTATTGCCTCCTTGAGTCTGTTTCCTCTCTGCTGCTCATTCTTTGATGTCCTTATGATATGTGTGTGTGTTAATGAATGAAATACATTGTGACACACTTTAGAGAATGTGGAGATTTTGAAAATAAGTCATGTAAATTGGACCATGTAGATTTTAGCTTGTGTGGTTTAACTTTATAACTTGCCATCATGAGAAAGAAATTAGACATCATATTTCTTTACTTGTTTATGGCCGTCTTGAAAACATGCTTTTTGAGATGTTTGCACAGATGTTAAAATAAACTTGAACAGCAGGAAAAATGCCTGGCATTCTGTTTAAAACATTACTAAACTTCAGTTTAACTTGTTTTATTTATGTATTTTTTTTCTAAGGGGAGAAAGCATCCCATTTACAGAACATTTCATGGGGCCCTTAAATTTGACATTTTTTGTTTCATTGCAACTATTTCATAGTAATAAATAAAAAACACAAAATTGTCATTGAATTAATATGTTGCATTTATTTAACTTTTTTACCAAATATTATTTATTCTGAAAATCCCTTAAAAGTAGCAGAAGTACAGTACAACCATTATCAGGTAATATTTTGGTACTGACAAGAGATGCTAAGCTAACTTTAGTTGTTAGCTTTGTGGATGGAAACAATACTGACCTCTTACATAAAGTACTTTTATTTTTTGTTGATGCAAAAAATGCAATATATTACATAGGCATACTGACCAAAGCAGTGTGATTTTCCTGTTGCACAAATAATAAATAAGCTAATAAATAAATAGCTGAGGCAGTTTAACTAACCTAAACAGAAATTGATTGATTTGTTTACTTGTATTTAACCAGGTACATTCCAGTGAGATCACAGATCCCTTCTAGTAGAAGTGTACTTGATAAATTATGATTTTGCATTTGATCATATTTATTTTTAAACTTTATTTAAAAATTTCTAAATACAAAAAAAACAACAAGTGAGTTTTAAAGCATTTAAACATATTGTGTACATAAAAAAGAACATAAATTAGGACTGTAAATTCAAAAACCACCTGTGTGTAATTATATATCACCACAAGATGGCAGCAAACTGTAACACAAATGTATGTCTTCTTGTTTGTGAGAAGCCAGACTGCCTGAACAGCTAACAAAGAACTTATACTTCATCTCAAACAGACATAMTGAACATTGTTTGATTTTTATTTTAATTCATTTCTGATTTTTTTTTTTACTTTAGTACAATTTAGGTTTATTAGACTTCAACATATTTCTTCTCTTATGTCTTTGAAACATAGAGACGTGGTGGAACATGTGACACATGATGGCTCCTTCAGGTCTGCAGGTCCCCAGAGTTTCCACCTTCCTCCTGCAGATGAACTCATTTTCTCTCACACCTTTTTGCAAAGTGTGAATTGGAAATATTTTGTTTTTCCAAGATTTTTGAAAAGTGTGAGTGAGTCAGCGTGGTGGCTCGATATGACATCAGTCATGCAGAATGTGGCTTTAAAATGATGCCTCAGTAAGGCAGCCTTTGTTGTGTAAAGGACCTGAAATGTCAAACCTTTTCAGCCTGTAACGACGTTAATGAAACAGGCAGTTTACCCTTTGCAATGAAACTATTTTAGCTCATCAAACGGTCAGCCTTTATTGTAAAAGAAAGGACAACTTTTTTATTTTTATTATTTTATCACAAGTTAGAAGACAGTTGAAATTCCAGATACGTTCTTGTGCATTTTGAAGACACTTTTCCCTAACCCACAACATGCACACATGCACAGGAAATACTATTGTTCCAGACAGGAAATGCTGAGACTGGAGCCTCAAATGACAATAAGTTTGAGGAAAGGGAGCAACAAATGATACTATGAGTGATTGTGTTTTTTTTTTTAAAATCAAAAAATAATCTATCTGGCATGAAATAAATTACTATCTTATTTCAGAGTTTGGACTGGTTTCTGCTACAGAAACATACAGTACTCAAAAAACAGATGTAATGGTTTTACTTAAAGAAACTCATGTCGACTGTTTCCACTCAACTGAACCGAGTAACTTTTTTACATTAACTTTAAATTTACATATTTACTTAAAGTAAATAAGTATATATTTAAGGACAAGAATATGAGATTCAAAAATTTAGAAAACAAAACATTTAACTTTAAATATCGAGTACCAGATTCCTTCATAAAGCTTGTATTAGTTTAAAGTTAAAAGCAAATCTTCATCATATGGAAACAAATACAGAATAACGAATGAGTAAATGTGAGTCTTTTAGATAAAATTTTGATGGGGCCAATTTGTCCAGCTTTTAATATAATTTATTACGTAAAATAGGTCCAATACAATAGCGCTTTTGATTTAGAGTCAATTATTTCTTTAAATTTCAAATATAAATGTTCGGGGGAAAAAAATCTACCCAAGTATATTTAAATTTAATGTATTGTACTGGTTAAATTCTAATCAATGCACAGATTAATGTAGATGATTACTCAGATGTATTACATTGCTATGTAGAATTAAATTAATCTATATAGTACTATTTACACAGTTAATTTTTTATTCAACTTAATAGTTTTGCTTAGGTTTAAATTAAATCCATATTGTTTTCTATTTAAATTTACTTATAGTATTATGAATAACTGTTAAGGGTTTCATTTAATTACTATTTGCTTAATACTTATTGTGAAATTTAATTAATGATTTTGCTTCTGATGTTGTCCCATTTTTATTGAGCAAATAATATGTTTTTTCATACAGTGTTCTTTTCTGAAATAATATTTGTCAAAGTGATTTAAGAATTTGACCACAAGGTTGTGGATTGATTTAAATAAAACTAACTTATATTTAACTACAGATGATTAAACTGAACACAGTTGAAAAGTGTCCTGATGATCACAACGTGAAAATTTATTGTGTTTATTACTGGTTGGACTGGATGCAACGATCGTACAGTAAATGTTTTTTTTTACTTTTACAGCTTGTGTCGCTCTGTGTCCCTGAGCAAACACACATTCACTGACAGCAGATGACGCGCAGCTCTCTCAGATATGAGCAGACTGCGACACAGCAGCCAACTCCCTCCCTCCCTGTGTGTTTCTGCAGTCCTCTCCTGTCCCAGGCAGCACTGCCTGCTCCTCCTCCTCCTGCAGCTCTGCCTGCTCATCAATAAGCTTGTATTAGCCCACCACTAATCATATTGTGAGCAACAGAGGCAGAGAGTAGGGCGGCCCAGACTTTGAGTGCACCATCTCTGTGTGGGAGTGTGAGTGTGTGTGTGTGTGTGTGTGTGTGTGAGCAGTTGGTGAGGGAGGAGGGGTGTGTCCTAGTGTCTTCTTCTGTTGTAGTAACCAACTGCACGCCGACTGCCAGCCATTACTTCACTGCAGCAAGAGTCGGCCCCTTCGCACTGAGTGAGCCAGACACACTAACCTGTCTGTCCCCTCCTCTCTCTGCTCTCCCTCTGCATATTCAGCAGAGCTGCCCTCCTCTCCTCTCCTCTCCTCTTCATCACTTTGCCACTCCTGCAGCATTTGCTCTTTGCTCGAGGGGGACGTCGGCCTGCTCCTCACCCACTGGTTCTGCATGACTGTCACAAAGGTAAGACCCACTTTAGGTCAAGAAGCAAACAATAAAACCTAACAGAGCTCAGTTTGATTGATGGTTTTTCATGTGGGCTGTTTGTGTTCGATCAGAGAGAAGTTTTGAAGTCGTGCCAAGATATCAGGATGTTGCTGCCTTATCTTGTGTGGTCACACGTTAGTGATGCAGTATTCCTAGAATAAGTTATTTAATAACAAAATGTGTTACAGTTTATTAAATAACTTGTTATTAAAACAGTGAAGTTTTTTTTTWTTTCAAATTGATTGCGTTTAGGCTTATCAAAAAAGACAAAACTGATATTTTGTTCTTGGTGAATTTTGTTTGTGGAGTTGTTTGTTTTGTTTTATTTCTTTAAAAAATGATTAATTGGCTAATTCTGTTGGTGTTTGGCTCACTGGCAACTGCATTTAGCTTTACTGTATCTTGAACTTGTGCTTTTTATACAAAGATGATCCCACTCAAATTACTGTACACTCCAGCTGTATGTTGTCCTATTTATGAAGTCAACAATTAAATTCAGGCACAATTTTTTACTTGTTAATTTTTGCTAAAATTTACAGCAGGTTCAGGGTTAGGCATGAGTCATTATGGTGCATTTTAAGGTAGACTCTGCTGTGTCACTGTGGCAATAATGAATGTTTGGATGTGTGTGTTTGTAAGTGTCCACGTGCACCTGCGTGTTTGGAGGTGGTTTTGCAGAGCTTTACAAGCAGCCGATGAATCCTCTTAACCAATTAACGGAGAGACAGAGAGGAAGATACACACACAGAGGAAACTGGCACACCTACTCTCGTGTAGAGAATTAACTCAGCCCAGAATAGATGACCTACTGCAGACATGGGACAGTGGCCTATTTACTCTTCCTATAGTTACACACCTACACCTTCCAACGCTGACGTTAAAATGTGTTGCAGGCTGAAATATCTGACTCCAGTTTGCACACAGCTGCTCACACAGTAGATTTTCCTGAGTGAGAGATTGTGTGGGAGGTCCGTGCGCTGCTGCGTCGGTGGACGATTTCCACCGTGAGAACCGAACGAGGAAAAGGTCAGATGCTCATGTGTTGGCACTCAGCCACAGCGCCTAATCTCTCTGCAGACAAAACCAAAAGGCACCGAGGGGCTGTTTAATGACTCCATCCAGGCTCTGTTTGTCAAAACTTGGCATTTTGATTTCCACAAGAAAGGATGGAAATCAGGGGAGGAGAATGAAGGGACAGAAGAAAAAGGTGATGTCTTTATGCGTGAAAAAAGGTAGAACAGCAGGTTTCTGAGTGCTTTCAGAAAGATGACGAGTGTGTGGGAGATGCAGTGACGGAGTCTGGGGAGCTGTTTTCAGGGCTTTGCCTGCCAACAACAGAGAAGTCACCTTGGGAGGAATACAGGACACCAGCTTCTGTGCTGACAGGGCTAAACACTACACCCCCACCCCCACCCCACTCCAGCTCACAAAGATGGAGTGAGGGAGAAATGCCCTGCAAGACCTGCTTAGCATCACACAATATTTCTTTTTGTTTTGTTTCCTTTTACTTTTTCATATAATGCGTTTAACTGTTAAATTAGGCAAAAATGTGCAGGACTTAAATGGAGTAATGTACATTTATTGCATTTATGTATTTGTTTTTTTTTCAATAAATACATTCCTAGTTTTAAAATCTGTTTAACTTATTTGTTTTTTCAGTTATATTAACTAGAAGATGGATGATTAACTTTGCTTTTGATGGAAATGGTTCAAAGGCAAACTACGATGTCTGAACTCCAGAGCAAATTAAATTCATCTTGCTTGTTTAAAACCTTGCTGCCTATTTTTATTGTGGCGCTATATTTTACATTTCTAATAAGAAATACCTACTAAATTAGCTTGAAATAACTCAAATCACATGCTGCCTTTTTATACTTGAGGTATAATCAACAATACATCAGAGAAACTATAAAGCTGTCTTTAAAACAATGTGTGTGCTCTATACAAGATTTTGCATGATCTGTTAGCACTCTGAGCATGAGTTGGGAATGACTCTCATATACTACCACATTAAAKTTTAGCTCAACATCTGTAACAGACTGACTTCATAAACATTTGTACATTTTTTTGTGTTTGCCATCTTGACTCTAGAAGGTTTTTAGCTGTAGGCTACAGGTGCATCCAATGATTGTGTTCTGAGATTTAATCAGATTTGTTCAGTGATTTATGAGACATTGTTTTAATAAACCATTATTGCCTGTCAAAAGGCAGGTGATAGTACAACAACAAAAAAGAAAACAATGCCTTGTGATTGACTGATGAACTGTTTAAGATACACTTACCTCTCATCCAATGACTGGTGGAGGATCCTTCACATCATCAAATAGGTCCTGATGGATGGATGGATGGATGGATGGATGGATGGATGGATGGATGGATGGATGGATGGATGGATGGATGGATGGATGGATGGATGGATGGATGNATGGATGGATGGATGGATGGATGGATGGATGGATGGATGGATGGATGGATGGATGGATGAATGGATGGACAAAACAAAAATGTAAATCTGATAGACATTTAATCTTATTTCAAAACATTTACTCATCCTAATTAGAAAAAATACAGTATTTTGTATTCAAACGTTTTTTCAGTGAGATGGGAGAATTTGCTTTAACATTTACAATAWATTTGCTGGGAATATTTTGGTTTGGGTTTGGAAGTTTATGACATTTTTTGTTGTTTTTAATTGTTTTATCCTTTGCAACCAAATATATATCAAACTAAAAAAATTACTKTGAATTTTAAATCTACTTTAGCCAAAAGACTTGCATTTTGAGCAGAAGTAAATTTGTGCACCAAATGCTGCAAAACTTGGATACTGACAAATATTCAAACAACTTACTTACCTCTCCAGTGATAAAGAAAAACAATATATATATACATTTTTTTTTCCAATTTGCCTCTGATTTTGCCTTTTTTCCCACTTTGTCTCTGGTTTTGCATGCATTAGATAAAATAAAAGGAACTGCTGACTCAGCATATGGGTTGCGTGGTTTCAGTGAACCTCCCTAATGTCCTATTAAGGCATCATTTGTATTTTGCCATATTTGTGTCCCAGATCTAGTGATTTATTATAAAGTTGTGCACMTAGTGTTTTATCCTATACATTTTGTTTACACCCTGTTTTGAGTAACCGTGCAAAATTTAACACATATTTTAATGAACAAATACTTTCAGCCCAATCAAGATCAAAGTAACTATGGTTGTCTATAAGCACTGTTAACAAGGCTGCCTAATAACAGTTTATTGAAGAAAGATTAATAAAATAACAACTTTTTGCATTGGCATTTAAATACAAGAGGATGTTGAAAGGAGAACTTAGGAATGAACAGGATTTGTCACATTTCTTTTCTAGATTGAAGTGTTTTCGACAGCATCCAACACTCTCAGCTCTGCTGTTCTCTCAGCGGTGTAGCAGAACAGATTGTACATCAGGTCATCACATAAAACAATTTTAACCATTCCTGGACTTACTGTTCTCATCTGCTTTGTAATTATGCATTTGTGGACGTGTAGATTAGGGAATGTGAGTGGGCAGAMGGTTAGGCAGACAGATATTCTTTTACTACTGAACAGACACAGAGCCGTAGAGATCTTGTGATAGCAACTGAAGAAAACATCTGTGCAGCTGATGTCTCATGACCTAAATCTGTATTAATGTGTTTCTCTACCTCCTCGGGCCTGTTGGGTTTGATGTCAAAGCTATCTAATGATAGCCTGCAGCTCGCAGATGCTCCCTTACAAAAATAAATAGGAAACATATAGTCGGCATCCAGCCCTCGTGTTGTTTCGCTAAAGATCTCTTCAAAATTGCCCAACAGCTGAAAACTCTACAACATACAGTGAGGGCCAAAGTTGTGTCACAGCAGCATTGATTGTTACCCAGAGTGCTCTTCCTGTCTGCTCCAGTTATGCTGTCTGTCCACAGGGTTTAAGAGCAACGGATAATGGTGGGATTTTTATTTGTGAAGCAGGCTGACCTCTTCAGAAGACGGAGGCCAGTTTGTAAAATGACCTCCTGCCAAAGTCTTTGAGTTGTAAAAAGCGCAGAAGATCCGAATTCTGTTTCATATTTAATTTGAATCCAAATGTGCCATTAAAGGGGCAATATCATGTAAAATCAACTTTTTTGAGTTTTACATCTTGTTATAATGTTATACTCTCATAAAAAACATGCCCAAAGCCTTGCTGTTTGAGAAATCCTGCAGCGTTTTAAGGYAGCCATGCTGAGGAGCAAAACGACAGATGGGAACAGAAACGCCTTTTGGTACCAGAAACGCCTCTGGGACGTGTCTTTAAGCTGAACTTCCTCATCACGGAGCGCACCTCCCCACCCCACACACCCCTCCCATGACTTCTGCAGGCTTTCGGCAGTAACAAAGCAAACAAGTGAAAGTGAAAGTGAAACTTAAACTGTCTGCTGAGCTCTCTACATTAGTTCTTAGTCAGTGAAGCTCTTTTCAGATTCAAAATACTTTGAGGAAATGTATTTTCAGATGCCAAGTAAACTGCATCATAGCGCATGCACGAAACAACACCCCCCCCCCTCCCAACCACTGAAATTAAAGGGACAGAAGCAGAAGGTTGATCTTAAAGTGACAGAGGCCAATTTCAAGGCGTTTAGAAGAGGAAGTGATGAGAAGATAAGTTTATTTTCTATTTAAACATAAAAACAGCATTTTAATAACAGCTAAAGCTGACATAGATACTTTATTGTGGTATAGTATTTAAATGTATGCCTGAGAAACACATAATATTGCCCCTTTAAGCAAAATGGACAAGCTGCTGGCACAGACACTGTTGAGCATTTGTACTTTTCAACTGAACAATTAGAAAACTCCAGTCTGTAGACCTGACTTTTAGATGGTCCAGTTGTTTTTATTTAGTTATTCCATGTTTTTGCAGGCCACCACAAACAGTACAGTAGCATCAATGGTAAAAGAGGAGGGAGGAAGGGCACAAGAAGACTG